ATTATCGATTTTGCACGTGGGAAACTCACAAATGAAGAAGAAGACTTTGCCAAAGCTCATCAACTACCAAACAGGGGAAAGCGAGTGACGGCTCCCCGAGATAGAGTCATCGACCTGAAGATCATGAAGTGTGCAGCAAACTACAAGATAGCAGCATCTCTGCAGTTCTCGAATGTGAAAGAAAATTTGCAAAGGATTTTCAAATTCCTTCTTGCAACATTGGAGTTCTGACGAATGGTGACATCAGTGAGCAAGAACATCGCCTTCATCTATGAGGACTTGAATAATGGAGTCTAGGTCGACTTGGGGAGCGCGGACCATACTTAAGCTCACGAGCTGAAGAGTTGAGCTCACGAGTTGAGCTCAATTTTCAATTGTAATTTAGTATAAACATTATAAACTTTAAAATTTTAAAGTTATGGCGAACTTAATAATTTCATAACTCTCTATATATTATATAGATAAAAATGTTCTAAAGGACACTTCTTGTTCTAATAATTTAAATATTTACTACATGCAATAATAGAGACGTTTGTTAGAATATAAAATAAAATGTTTGCAAAAAGAGTATTCTTGTCACTTCTTTAAATTTGTACTCTGTGCTTTCTAGCTAGTAAATGTCAGGTTCATCAGAATTTTTAAATTATTAAATTTGAATTAAGATTCTATATAAGGCCATATAACCATTTGAAAGGAAAAAAAAAAACTGTGATGGTACATATGCTCTCACAATACATTGTAACATCATACACCCGAAAGACTATCACGAAATATTTTTTGAGAAGGTAAAGACAAAAATGGAGACTCACAAATACTATGGGTAGTATTGCGAAAAGAACCTTACAAGTATATGAAATGAAAAGTGAAATAATAAAATATTTTTATTAATTATATAAGGTATAATTAGTTTATATTATTGATAGAGAATAAACATCGATAGTGCTGGAAAATCTAATTAGCTCCAAAAGTTTTCTGCAACTCAGCAATAGTAAGGCTTGCTTGGTGTATATGAATATCCACTTTAGGATCCTGGTGCAAGATGTTGATGAAGATGTAGTACATATGCTTGCAAGGAGCATATGCCTTCCCATGTTCCTCGCGCTTCGTAAAGTCTGGACATGTGCAAGAAGGAAAGTCTTGAATGGCAATTGTGTACTCTCCACCTTCTGTTTTGACTGTGTACTCCTTTGCGAGCGCAGTGATGTACTTCATGGAGAGAATCTCACACTCAAGTGTTTAAGCCAAGTTTATTTTACCTTGCTTCTGCTTGGAGACGGTACCAATAAATTTAACTGCCTTACCTTTTCGTGCTGGCCTCCTGTGCATCTCTGTAGGAATAGTTTTGGTTCTGTCACTCATATCTCCAACTCTCCTCTCAAGATTGAAACCAGATTTCTCAAGGTTTTCAATCTCATCCAAGGTGAGCGCAACCCCATTAGCAACCGGCCATTCTTTAGGTACTGCATTAGGTTTAGTCACTATAGTGTCTTCAAGCCGCTTTGTATGGTTGACATCAGAGTTGCAGCAATATAACCAACACCATCTTGAAAATCCTGCTTGCTTTCGTTCCCCATGGAAACATGGGGCTGGAACAGAAGCAGACTTATCACCACGGATCCAAGCCCAACACTTGCCCCTTGGAAGCATCCCCACACACCTTACATTTGATTTCGCTGGCACTCGACGGATTGCCCATTGCTTCGGCTCCACACTACGATAAGCAATTTCAACCTGCTGTGATGCACTTTCTTCATCAGCCACTTGAGGTGGTTCGGTTCTGGGGCGATGTCTTGGAGCAGAATGATACTCAACATCAGGCCTGTGAGAGCTTTTTGCTCCAAGATCCGTGCCAACATCTTCACCAGCAAAAGAAAATCGACGCTTTGAGCGGACGGTCTTCATATCACCAATAGAAGCCCGAGGAGTGTACTCCATAGATGTGCCGCGGACCACTTCCTCCACTGCAGTTGCTATTGTTCGTGCTGGTGGAGTCACTTTCTTCTTCATCCGATCGTGTAACATCTCAACCGAAGGTCCTGTTCCCATGTATCTTCCTTCCTCAAATGCCAAAGCTTTTGAAGACTGCTCTACAGCGCGTATCAAATCTGATAGACATGCTTCATATAGACTCATCTTCCCTTTCCCTGCCTCAGAGGAACGCCAGCTCCAATGTTTACTCTCTGAGAGATTCACAGTTGGGGTGTATGCAAGATCCTCAAGTGGTTGATCCTTATAAAAAGATGATATTAAAAAGCAATAAAAAGAGAGGAAAAAAAGAAAAACCAACCTGAAAAGAGTGATGTCCCCATTGGAACATTCTAACTTCCCACCACCCCAACCACGACTCAAGTTGTGGTAGACAACTTACGTCAGTATGGCCATCTTCACGCCACCACATTCGAATCTCGTTTGCTTTTGCCTCATGCTCTTCTTCAGAAGGTGCAGCTTGCCATTGTTTGCACAACTCCTTAAATGCTAATTGGAAATCTGGCTTGATAAGGTGGCAGTGTTGGTTTAGGCTCTGAGCCCAATGGAACTCACATGTCCTCTCACGACCTTCTAGGGGTAGACCATTCCCAAAGACTGCCCGGACACCATTCCAATTAGCCCCAGCCCCATCTGCCATGAAACCGCGAAAGTTGGCAGGCTTACCAGTCCGCTTCAATACAATGTCGGAGAGGGACTTCCAAAATATTTCTTGAGCCATCTGGTCTTGTACTTTAAACTCTGCCGTTGCAATTGTCAAGTTACAACGTAGCCTGTGAAAAGTGCAATGTTTAAAACCATTTTAAGATAATGAGAAAAAAAACTACCTTGGATCATACACATGAGCTCCCATGGTTGTCCAACCTGCCACCCGCTCCATATGGTCAAAATGTACCCATGCATTAGCAAGGTCACTCAACCCAGACATATCCATTCGGGAAACAAGGTCCACACCAGAGGCAGGGCCCATGGTAGACATTTTGAAAACGAAGGGGCGCTCTTGCTCACTAACGACTTGATCTGGAAATAAACTCCCATGGATAAACTCATAGGGACAAGTCCGTTTTAGTTCAAGGATTGAGTCGATTTTTGATTGGAGTTTCCCCTCTCGAGATTCACACATCCAAGACTTTATCCTAAATAAAACAAAATGTAAGAGAGATATTATTGAAAAGTATGTAATAATATTTTCATACCTTCTAAGGCTAGTTGCAGGTTGCACATGTCGTAGTAACTCCCGCAAGCTAGCCTCATCTAGTTGAGTATTCTTGTAGTCCGGATCAAGTAAAGTATTTGCAATAAAATCCTTGAGCACTGTCTTCTGAACATGCTTCGGAGTTGCAGATGAGTTTCTCACAGTCTCTATCTGCACTGCATCTTTGAAATGGTTGACTGAACTCCTTTGTATCCCTTCCTGCATTGGATGTGTGTGCGTGCCAATATGTACTGCAGCTCTACCAACCTCTCCATCCCGTGGAAGAAAATAGTACATCTTGGCCCCGCAGATGGCACGACACAATGGAGCATTCTTGCAAAATCGACACTTGAATCCAACACCAATGGTGTCACAGAGGGGAGGATTGGTTGCAGATCCTTCAAAAAATATGGAGTTTTTACCACGCTCTTGATTGCATGCTTTATTCACACAATCCAAATACCCACCACAATGAACCATAGACACTGTGCCTTCAAAATGCTGGAAATGTGTGGTCTTGATCTTGCACCAGTTATGGACATCCTGCTTTGTCTCCATCCCCTTTCGTTTTGAGCTGACAAGAGGTGGTAGTTCAAAGAAGATATTGCCATTGTATGTAGAAGGGAGCTTGCTAACGAGCCTATGCAGAAAGGAACGCACGTCGATAGAGAGGCGGGAAAACTGGAAAGCGTTGCAAACAGCTTGGAATATCAGTGAAGTTGGAGTTTGGAAATTCTTGGCTCGCACTGGACTAACATCTCCACTAGAACTAGAAGAGGAAGAAATGATGACGACCGACTCTTGCTTCACATTCACTTTAGCAGGATCACAACCTCGCACTTTGATTGGAGATCCAAAAACTCGAATCTCTTTCGACTTGGAATGTTGCAAATCCCAATGTTGTCCACCTTCACCTACACCCGAAAGAAGAAACTCCGATCGTTCAACTACACCAATGTTGTTGCGAATCACAGCTTCCAATGAAATAGAACCGAGAGAAAGATCGAAACGTCGGCAAAGAAAACTTTCTGAAATAAGACTCTGGGAGATAGAAAGCGGTGGGTGATCTTGGTAATGCAAAAAGAAGCCCTCCATTTTGTTGCCTTTAGGTTTTGGAACTTTGAACTTTTATAACGAAATGTCACCTCACATGTGCTATGCCATTATGTGAAAAGATAGGGCGATTTTATTCTAGGATCTAACATCGAATAATGTTGTTATAATAAATTCTGTATGAAGTATATAGGACTATGTTGTACAATATTAAAAGTCTATATACATTGAATTCAAAAACATACTCAAATTTATTATATGCACTAACTTTTGGTAGAATGGAAAGAAATATCACGTCAAGCATGTGCCATAATATGAAAGATAGGAATGATTTTATTCTAGGATCTACCATCAACCAATTGTTGCCAAATAAATTAAATATTGTACATATTTTCAGTACTTCATTAAAGCTAGAAATCATCACATTCTTCTGAACTCATTTAAATATATTCCATCTTTGTACTACCATCTATCACCTATAGTAAATTATCTATATACATTACTTTGGAAATAACACCTTACGATTTAATAATCTTATATTTTCTAACAATTTCGTACTGTGATCAATTCAACACATGCGTCTGTGACATTATTTCACATTATGACATAGTCATATTAGAGCACACCTCCATTATTAAATTACAATTCAAAAGGACTTTGTCACGTGATCAAATCTAGGGCGGAATAGAAATTGTACAGTGCTAGATTTATTATTTATTGTACAGTGAAGATTTACTGCATCCATGATGAACGGCTGTGATGAAAGTTAGGTTAGGGTTAGGGCAGCTGCCGGCGTTAGGGTTTTACAGAAAGTATCGCGGGAGATTGAGAGTGACTGCGGGAACAGAATGCCGCCAAGAGTAAGTTTTTCCTCCTTCTCCACTCCCTCTCCTCCACTCCCTCTCCTCCACTCCCTCTCCTCCCCGCCCAGCGCCGCCGCACCCAGCGCCCCCGCGCCCACGCCATGCCCAGCGCCGCCACGCTGCGCACACCACGCCATGCCCAGCACCGCCACTGCCCAGGGCTGCCGAGCGCTGCCCACTGCCATGCCACGCCCAGCGCAGTGCTGCCTGCCCAGCACCGCCACTGCCATGCCGCCGCTGCCGTGCCGCCACTGCCCAGCACCGCCGCTGCCATGCCGCCGCTGCCTGCCGCTGCTGCCGTGCCGACGCCACGCCACGCCAGCGCCGCACTGCCTAGGGCCACTGCTGCCCAGCACCGCCGCTGCCAAGTGCCTGGCCCGGGCATTTGGCCCGAGCCGGCCTTGGCACTTGGGGGCAGACCGGCGCCCGCACCAAGCGCCAAGGCCAACAGCCCGCGAGCCAGCCTTGGCACTTGGAGGAGGGCCGGTACGCCAGCGAACCGGCCCACCTCCAAGCGCCAAGGCCGGCTCGCGGGCAGTCTTGGCGCGGGCCGGCCAAGGTGCTTGGGGGAGGCGTGCACCGAGCCCACGCCCTGTTCCCCTCTTCTTATGCATTTATAATTTATAATGAGTTTTTTTTATTTTCAGAAACGGAAGCAACTACAAAAGGAGAAGGATGTTGGATTAAGGAGAAGACATGAGGAAGATGAGATCCAGGATGACAATCAAGTTGACCTTCAGATAGAGATTTCCACAACAACAACTCTACCGTCTTCCCAACCACATAGCTCCAGTCCACATGCACCCCCACCACCGCCATCGATGCCACCACCACCATTACCACCGCCACCACCGCCACCACCATTACCACCACCGCCACCTTTACCTTCATCACCACCATTACCACCACCGTCATCACCACCATTACCACCACCACCGTCATCACCACCATTACCACCACCACCGTCACCATCATCACCACCACCAGTGCAACCATTGTCATCACCACCACCAGCGCAACCATTGTCATCACTACCATTACTGCCACAACCACAAATGCCACTACTCTTAACATATTCACAAAATATGGCAGAAACGGAGCAGTGCCCAAGTGCGCCTGATGGCGGTGTTGGGCCCGAGTCAGGGGATAGATCTGATAATGGTGCTACTGGAGGTGTAGCTGAAGCTGAAAGAGAAGTGGAGCTACCTGAACACATTGTCGACAAGCGCTTCCAAGAGACAGTTTTGAGAACTAAAGAGAAGGCCATTCACACGACTTTGGAGTCTCTCAAGTGGGAAGGCCCGGGGCACATGATCCGAGAAATCCCACTATGTCGATTCACTTAGACAAGCATCGTTCGGTCTGCTTCACCGCACTTCGTCAACATGGACATCTATAGTCTGTACAAACAGAATGGCCTTGGGACAAACATAGGTATGTTCCTTGTTTCAGTTTTCAAGCCAGGAACGACAAATACCCTCTCGGTGTCACCGGAAATCGAGAGGGATTGGGATGACATTTGGAAAATGAAGTCCCGCGAATTTGACAACAACCTTATGAGCCATCCTGAGACTCAACAATTTGTGGGGAAAATGTTCTACATTATCGACGGGAATCATCGCTGGTGCGCGTGGATGAAGTGCATCCGAGAATGCTTCCGAGATGATCCTGTCTATCACATCAATGTTCCGGTTGGACATGTACACGCGAGAGGATCTCTAGATTTGGCAAGGCTTGTGATAGCTTGCCACAAAATTAATGCGTAAGTACCTCTCCTTCTTCAATCACTTTTAACAATTTATGTTTTGCAGACTGGGACAGTTTGCAGTGCAGAAACAAAGCCTAGTACATGATATGGAGCAGATCCGGTTTCTTGCCAATCTCGACGAGGATGCAGTCCGCAGCCACTATGGTGATGATTTAGCATCACTTATTCGACATCAACGAGGTCGTCAGGATGCCAATAGATGGTACAAGAATCCAGTGGCTTTTATGACAGCTGTGTGGAGTAAGGTATGTTCTTTTAAGTATACTTCTTATCATAGAATGTTTGTGTTGTCTTCAGCCATTGGTGAAGGTTAAGCAAGATGCATATGCACAGTCGCATCGAGCTGAAAATGATCAAGAACTCTCAGAGCATTTAGCTGCAATTGACAAGAAAATCAACACCACAAAGAAGACAAAGGTAAAGAAATTACTTAGTGTGGCTGACCCTCGACGCCCAAAGGAGTGGTTCGATATTATAACAAAGATTGCTTGTCATGAAAGTAAGTATTGTTTATATTTACATGAAGGTTCTCACAAAAGTTATTTTTTAGTGGGCAAAACTCCAGATGAGATTATTTACAACATCTCAAAGTCAAAGCTTACATATGAGGAATAGATACACATTCTGAACAACCTCAATAGCAGACTCAGGGAAGGAGAAAAAGGTTTGGATAGTATGATGGAGACTGTGATGAGGAGGACCGTCTACATTTCACAAACTGTATATGAAGGGGAGATGTTTCTAGCGCCTTTCATAGGGGATGATCCTGAGCAACTTCCATTTAAGGACTTCGTCACCATTGAGCTTACAAAACTTGGAGAGGACTGGCTGCCAAAGAAGGCCACAAGCACGACTCCATTTGAGAAACAACTTGGCCAACCTTACTTCATGCGTCGAGCGGCTTTCAGGTAACATACAATTTCTCAACTATACTCAATTGTTTATATTCTATTATAGGTATCTCCAATATAGAAGCGTTCCTCTCGAAACACTGGTATGCACACGCCTCCTGAGGCATGGTGTGAGAGATGGAGGCATGTACCCGACAACAATGAAGTTTCCAGCAGCAATAAAGCGCGCTTGTCCTTGGGAATTGGAGATGCCAGATTATGAACCAACCCACCATGAGGCTGCAAGAGGCAACAATGATGACGAAGATGATGGCCATGAGAATGTCGACCCTGTTGGTGCCAATGGCGAGCAGAGTGAAGATGGCGGTGAGAACGAGATTCTTCGAGACGAAGTCGAGCAAGAGAACCAGAACGTCCAAGAAGTTCTACCTCAACGAAAGCGAGCAAGTCCACATCTGGAGGAATTAGTCAACAGTGATGATGATCGTCCAAAACATCCCCGTAACCGAGGACTTCTCGAGGTATATTTCTTTTTATTCTCTCCTTTTCTTAGTTCCTCAAAATGGTTGCAGCAAAAACTGTCGGGAGTAACTTCATTCCAGCTCGTCTTGATGCTCGAGAAGAGGACTTGGAGGAACTTACATCTACCACACGCCACATGACGGTATGTAAATTTTTCTTAAATTCACATCTTATCTTTGTCTTCTCCCCCTAGATTCGCCCTGTATCTCCAGTGGCATTCCGTGGTGAAGTTGGGATCTTTATTGGCTCCTATAGTTCATTGATGGCATCTTTTGAGGAGGATGCTGAGAATATGGCTATCCGGCAAAAGTGGGAGCGCTTTTGTCAGAAGATCCATAGGCGACCGCTCAAGAGCACAAACTTCATGCTCTTTGACATGCCAGATGGTCTTCCAGACGCTAATGGTGATGTCCCAAGCTGGAACAACCTGACTAAAGACCACTTGAAGGATGCATTCCTTTTGGCAGCAATTCTCTTTCACACAACCGGTCAAGTTGCCTTCATTCTCCCGAATGACCCCCATTGGATGTCCTGCCTTATGAGGTATGCAAGTCGAGTCAACTTCAAGAGGTTCTCTTCCGGATGCATCATGGATAGTGTTGGGGTCGAGACCAAAGGTGTCCTAGGCATGCCAGAGAAGGTAAGAAATCATTTTCTGTTTTGGTTGTCTCTTAAAGTTTTATTATTCAGGTTATGATGTGGACCTACCATGTGTTTTGCAGAAAAGAAAATGACGGTTTTCGTGATAGCGAGCGTGCTGCAAGGGTTTTGCCAGGGTATGACAGCTTTACTGACATCATACCAAATCTCATAGACGACGACATCCGCAACACATTGTCTGGGTATCGGTTCCGATCTCCATCGGCGATGCATGTCCTACTTGAGCTTTATTGCCCAACTAGAGGTGTTGTCATCGATTGCACAGCAGGTAGTGGTTCGATGGTCGAAGCAGCACGTGACTCTGGTAGATCAAAGTTTAACCATATCGGGAGCAAGATCTTGAAGAAACATCTGGCATCGCTCTTGAAGCACATGAGGCAATCCATCTTTAGTAGCAACATCTAGAACATTATCTGGAAGAGGGATCTCTTGTTCAGTCACACTTGGGGCTACAAAAGAAAAGGCCTCACAACGATTGATGTATGGAGGGAAGGGTGGAATGTTGGTAGAAGTTGGAGACGGAGGTGGAGACTCATATGAGATGCATGGGGGCCAAGTGCGAGTAGCAATAGCATTTTCCCTAGCCATTCCTACACTCTAAACAAACTGAAATTTCAATGTTGAAAGCATCCCTTGTTGGTATTTATACTAAGAAAAGATCTAGGGGTTCTTGAAAGTTTAAATTGTCAGTCTCAAAAATGGGACTTCAGAATTATAACAGTGTCAGAACCACTTGTATATATAATAATATCTTTATACATGCTAGAATAATATCATTCTCGAAAATATAAGATTCTCCACTTTACTCATAAAGAATTAACCTTTTGAAAAAACTATGCATGACTTTCACATTACATTAAAGGGTGGCCTAAATATCCCATATTCAGCACTTACTGATGCAGTGTTCACCAATGGAATATTGTTCTCCACCATGAAATCATAATAGCTGTGTGTTTTTAATTCTTTCTTGATTTTCTTATACATCCACGCGTGCACACCTTCCAAACCCGCTCTTGGGCATTTGCGACAATGCTCAATAAAATTTACCAAACCCATGCAACCATCTGTCTTGTTTAAATAAAAGTTGCATATAGGACACTGAAGATAATATGTATCTACATTAAGCTCCCCTGCCATATCTGGAGCAAGATCTTGAAGAAAATATTGACATCGCTCTTGAAGGATTGGAGGCAATATAACTTTTTTAACAACATCATAAGGAAGGAGTTTTTGTTCAGTTGCACTCGAGGTCGCAAATGGAAGAGCCTCACAATAGCCCTCAAAATGAAAAGGAGGATTGTTACGTAGAGGTGAAGGTGGATTATTGGTTGAGATTGGAGATGGAGGTGGAGACTCATATGAGAGGCCTTCGGGACCAAAAGTAAACTTCTTCCTAACCATTGCAACACACAAGAAGAATTAAACTTCCTAGCAATAAAAATTCTCTCATTAATATACTATATTTCAATCTCGGGAATGATGTTTTATTATGACATGACACTATAGTGAATGATAATTGTCAGTTTTAGTAATTACAACCTACTATGAGAAACAAGTGGCTATAGGGTTTCAGAAGCTAAAAACTAGCATATAATTAATATGTAGCCTTATTTTATATAGTTGGCCTGCCATATATAATAATAGCGAATATACACAAGCACGCGAGTATGCCTTTTTACAAGATTACCTTTCAATCCCAAAATCATATATAGATTTAATTCTTTGATTTGTCTACATCATATATCTTTGCAAAGACAAAACATATCAAAAGGAATAAGATATATATAAAAAACTTACATTTTTTTATAATATT